CCCCCCCCCCCCCCTCCGAGCCTGGCATATGCTTAGTTTCGGTAAATAAAACCGAAAATCGCATATGCACTGCTTGCAAGGGAAAAGTAAAATTTTAACGTGGCGAAGAATAGGATTAATTTCGGACGAGGATACATCGAGAATTGCTTTACAGTATTACATGCAAGACACATGAAACTGAAAGTGGAAACGGAGGTACACCGTTTCTGTCACTGATTGTCAATGATATGTTATCGATTTCGAGGAAACAAGACGTTAGAAAGGTTTCTAACAATAAGCAATGCAATAGAGCGATTTTCGTATGACCTTGAAAAATGGTTTCGGTAAGTGTTTCTTATTTGTTTCATCAGCCAATGGATGAATAGGTCAAAACATGGCCTCTTCGTTTTCCCGCCAAAGAAAACCCTAACGTGAAAAGGCATTGTTCGATTGGCCAGTCACGTCGCAGTATGACGTCAAAGCGAAGTATCGGTTGATTTCTAGAAAGTTCTGGGGCGTGAAGTTTTTTCACCCGAGCGTTCGCTCAACCAACCAAAAGCCGCGTGCGTTTGTATCCGTTCGATAAACCAATCAAATCGCTCTATTTCCGTTCGTTTGTTGTTTCTGTTTTGTTCGCGCGTTTTCATTTCAAGGTCATACGAAAATCGCTCTATTTATTAGACACCATCTCCATGCACGCTTACAGTGAATAGCAAAAGAAACTAAACAAGTAGTCTTTTATCGATATAGTTAAAAGTTACAGGCCTCAAAGTGTCTTGTCATATTGAACTATAAGGCAAAAGCAGCGTAACTCTGAGGAAAGTAGTAAAATGAATCAGTTCCCCTTTCACATCGTGGAATATAACTGATTTCTATCCCTACTGTCATACATTTTGTGCTTGACTCAAAGAGGTGAAGGTGTCACTCGTCTTTCGACTTCATAACTGGTTTGTGAATCTTTACTCCGTGTTTATTATTACGTGTGACAAGTTTGTAAAACCAAACGTACATTAGGTAAGCCTAAAATTCTTTGAAAAAGGGGTCTACTTTTTGTAAAGCACTTTAATGTTTACAAAGCTCATTGAATTGAAGCCTTCATATGTGTCATTAGTCTTCATCTCTCAACTGCATGAGCTCAAGAATGACATTGTACTTGCCGATCTTCTTACGCATCTCCGCGGCCTCTTTCCATAGCAGATCTAACTTTTCAAGCGTCTTGCCTGTATATATGTAGGTGTCATAAAACTTCGTTGCAGTACCAATACCAGCACCGCATGTAATAGTGATTACCACAGGATTCCCACCGATGAACGAGGAACCACACACAGCAACGGCAGCAGAACCGTATGCAGCAGACCATATTCTGTTGCTAGTGCCTTTCTTCACATCCTTGTAAACAGATTGAAGCAAATCCTCTAGCACCTTCAAATATCGACTCAGCATTTGACTCAGCTTCTTAATTTTTCGTGGTATGCTGGCAGTGTTACCATTTTGAAACTGTGGCAAGAAATCGTTCTCTATTGAATCTATAATGATTGTTAGTTCCTCCTTTGGGAAAACAATGTGGTGCCGTCTGTAGTCTATTTCCAAATCCACTGCATTCTGATACAACTCTATACTCTTGCCCACTAAATAAAAAGACAACAGCACAAGCTCTGTACCCGTATAGGGAACTGCCTTTTCCATCAAGTTTGGAATCTTTCCAATAAGATCTTTCAAATCTTTAGGGATCGAGACTTGCACTGCTTTCCAGTTGGTTTGCCGCAAACCCATGACTATTCTCTGCATACAGTCTTTTAGGTTCATTTGGAACTTTGGATCATTTTTTAGTGCTGCCAAGCTGGGATTTTTCAGTACCTCTACACATTCTCCCGGCAGAAAGAAAGCCTGAGTTGGAGAGTTTACTGAGTTCAGCAAGAACGCCAAAAGTAAAACACGGCTGAAATGGAAACGAAAGCGAGAATACGTCCGGCCTTTGGAGAACATCTTGCTGAGCCTTCTTTATGCCTCAATTTGATTTCGATCAACCACTGTCCAGTTGTGCGGTAACTGTGGATCGAAAAAGTCTTGAACAGCTTTCAGACAACTGGTAAACAACAGGTATCAAATAGAAAAATATTCATATGTGCGTCATCTGCGGCTCTTCTATCACGCGGGTTGATCACCAGTGCAAAACATAACAACAGTAAGAAGCGAAACTTAAAGGTTGTCCAATATTGGGGAAATAACCTTTGATATCGTGTGTAAACAATAGAATATCGAAACTGAAAGGGAAACTTTCCTCCTAATTTTATCCAATTGAAAGGGACCAAGATTTTTTCCACGAATCGCATGCGCAGACGGGATGGGATAAGACACGACTTAGCTTATTTTAGATTTGCATTCCCTTCACGTAATACATGATACCATTACAGTCTCCGTGTTTTTTTTGTTTTTTTTGTTGTTTTTTTTTTTTCGGATGTCCGCGACTTCGACCGCGTAGAAAACGTTTCCTTTACGAGGGCGTCTACTCATGGAATGCAAACGTCAGTAGGGAAATAAAAACTTTTTTTTATTATAACGTTATTGATTGTACCTCATTCAGCCTTTGGAACGAACATCCCCTAGTCGACTAGTGAACAACCTAGTTCCCGGGATTTACGGGAAAAATCGTAATGAGAAATGGAATTGAGAACACGTGACGCAAACGTAACACGACACTGAAACACTTCCGTGCCGACTCCATTAACAGCAGCACTAAACTTCAATTCTTTCTCCATGGAGTCACAGCCGACTGGCGAATAAGTATAAGAAACCAGGACGTTACTGATCAAACTGAGGCCTCACCAAGAAGCTCACATTCACTGAGAGCTGAAGTATAAAAGAGAGTATTGGTATTCACCTGTAATATGCTCCAAAACCGAAACAACTTCCGCTTTCCCTACTGTGGTAGCGTGATCAGTTTTGTGGTGGTTTTGGTGATGATTTCTCCAACGGAAGCAGTCGGCGTGCCCAAGGAATGTATAGAGGTAGCCACTTACGGTCAAAAGGTGTGGATGACAGGGAGTACCGTGATAGAGATAAAGCAACTGGTAAACTTTATTGACTGTGTAAAGGAACTGTACAAGATATACAAGACAACAGCTGATTGGAAGGTTCCAAAAGAAGTCCTAGCTGTCATCCGTAAGATACCAAATCTGGGGAAAAAGTCACTTGCCGTTGCCAAGCGGGAAGGGCTGTGTTTTGTGTCGGTGTATTTGCTGTACAGGACTGTGGACCTGTACGATCGCGCTATGAACTTGAACATAGACTTCCAGATGTATCGTAAAGAGTTCGAATCACTTCAAATTGAACTGCAACAAGTCATACACCTAATACACGAGGAGCTTCTACCAAACTGGAGGCACCTTAGCACCGGAGTTTTGAGGAAAATTACACTGGATGTGGATGAAAAGTTAAGTCGCTATCACGCAGAACTCATGCAGCTGCTTCAACACATTGACGACGACATCAAGAAAGGGCGTCTTGGTATTGCATGGGCTTTTGCTTTTCAGTTGGGATCCGCTGCTTTGTGCGGAGTGTCAGCTTTGGTTGGAAATGTACCAGGAGCTATATCTGCATTCGTCGCCAGTTTCACAGGCCTTGCTGGCATTCGTTCTTTCGCATTAACAGTTCAACAGCTGGAATCACTCCAAAACGATGTGGAGGGTACGTTAATTGAAATCGAAGAATGTCGCTTTCTTCTTCAGCAGAAGCTATTGTATTCAGAAATTTTTGTCTTCCTCTTCAATGCCCTTTTCCTTGTTTCTGTCATTGCTCTTTTCAAGCTGAATCTGCCGCAACCGCTGAGCATTAAAGCTCAAGGAGGCAATAACTAGAAGCTAATGTTTATTACCCCGCTATCAAAAGGTGACTGCCATATGGGAGAGCAGGTGCGAATCTAAGATAAATTTTGACCGATTTCCTAAACAAGGAAATTTTTATATTTTAACTCCCTAAAGTCCCCTTTTCCGGGTTTCTGAGTTTTTCAGACAAGATATTGGCCAGTTCCATTCTCCTCTGGTTGTGATGAAGCCCTGAAAATCGGCAGATTATTTCATCAAGGTCAATTTCCAGATTTTAACTTGGAAAGTTTTTTTATTAAAAATATAGATTTGCATGGTAAAACAGTGGAAACCGGTGTGAAACCGTGCCTGGAGAGACTAGGCGGTGTGCTTACAATTTACACTGTACCACCAGTACTCTAATTGCTAGAGAGAGCGCCGTACCATTGAAACTTATTCCTTTTTACTAACATCACAATACTGTGTCTTCTTTCTGTTTCTAGTTTCTTTCTTCTTTTTTTTTCAAAACTAACTTGGCATAGCAAAAATGTAATAAACGTTAGATTGAAAGGTTTATATCCCCCTTCAAGATTCAGATAGCAATAACAATATCGACATTAACATTTCAGCATTAACAATGATGAACAATGTCCAAATTCTATCAGTTCAATTATAAATGAGTAGAAATCGCGATTTAGTTACCGACGTCTTAATAAACAGTCATCACTCAAAATTGACACTTAAGTACAGCTGTGTTCCGTTGAGAAACCAGAACTTGAAACAAATCCTTATAAGTGTATTCAAGGAGGCTGTTGTGTGTCTGGGTACCCTGTCGTGAGACCAGAAGACGACCTTCCCTGTCATTTTAATTCACCATTTTCACATAGACCATAAGGCATGTCGTTTACCGCCCAAAATTTTGTATAACCATTGTCTTCGATTTCCCTTGGGACGACTGTAATACCCAGGAGAAATTGAAAACAATGGTTACGGAAAATCTTGGGGGGTAAACAAGGTGCATTATGGTCTGTGTGAAAATGGTGAATAAGAAAGTCCCCCCTCTCCCCATCCCACCCCTCCCCCCTCTCGACTAGACGGTTAACTCTTTTTACCCTATTTTCGGCTAACGGTTAAACTTGTTTTAATTTTTACGACCTTTTTGTCAAGTCATTTAGGAGTCTATCTTGTACGAAGGTTTATCTCAACGACCGGAATAAAGAGTGTGGACATTTACATCACCTGAGGCTCGATTCTCGTAAGCAAGCACCACCCGAGACGACAACCCAAAATGCGGAGACTCGCCTTACGGGAGGTTCGCCTGTAATTGCATTTTCAAAGCTGATGTAAGGTTGCGTTCGATTGGGAAATCCGGATTTAGATTTTGAAATCCGGATTTCTTACTTTGCAATCGAACGCGAAATCCGAAGACGGATTTCACCACCGAGAAATCCGTCCTCAGGGTGGATTTCAATAAAGAAATCCAATTCCGGATTTCATGGATTTTCTTTTTACCGTTCGATTGGGAAATCCGAAAAACGATTTGCAAAACTGTTCTAGTGAACAGCGGTCTTCTTGTTGCTGATTATGCGTGCCCGTGCAAGACAGCTGTCGGCTTAAGGACAGTTTTTCAAATCCTTTTTCGGATTTCCCAATCGAATGGTGAAAATGAAAATCCAAAAACAGATATCTCATCGTTGAAATCCGTTTTCGGATTTCGCGTGCGATTACAAATCCGAAATCTGGATTTGAAAATCTAAATCTAGATTTCCCAATCGAACGCACCCTAAAAATCCTCTTCCGTTGCACCACTGTGTTCAAACTCAAGACCACAAAGTGACTGTATAAGTCACAACGTATTTTTATTTATGCTGTACAAAAACAAGCATCACTAGCCGTTCAGAATTCCCATTCAATGTGCTGATTACAGCAATTATTTTGATCAAAAAAGAGGAAACAAATATATTAGATACTCTTTACACGTAATAAATAGTCTGAAATAAATCCTATCCTAAAGGGCAAAGAAAACAAGCATTGCCAGAGTTATTAAAATTGATCGTTATGAGCTCTCACCATAATTTGAATAACAGCTCGAAATAAATACTGATTACTAATAAATCCAGCTTGAGTTTCAGCTACACTTAGGGATGGACCATTAGAAAAGTTACGGGGGAGGGGGTAGGGAAGTTTCGAGCAGCAGGAATTTTTTGTCGTTATCAAATTCCTTGTATGAATATTTTTTAGGCGTTAGCATGAATTTTTTTTAGAGTTAATTGGCGTGCATGAATTTTTTTTCATTTAATTTTCCCTTGCGCGAATATTTTTTTTTGTACTTCGCCCGTCCCCCCCTTCCCCATAAGTTTTCTAATGGTCCGTCCCTTAGTTCCAATTTTTTATGACATAACCAATCTGAAGTGCAACTAGAATTTTATTGAGGATCAACCACGGTCTTAATTCCTTAAAACACTCAAAATCAAGAGAAGCGACTGTGTTGACTAGATTGCTTGGACAAATTAATTCGTGAATATCAACATTGAAGGGTAACGAGACCAAACATGAACAAGCGTTTATGGCCGGGATTTTAGGTCAAGATTTTTTTCCCTACGGTCACGCAACGCAGCTCCTACCGTCACGAAACGGAGGAGGGAGGAATGCGTGACGGGCCTAAAAGCCCCGAATCAGTTCATTCCAGTGTTTTGGATGTTCCCTTAAACGGATTTCTAATGGTACTTAAACATGATTTACTCAACTTTCTGTGAAGTGCGTCAGTAGATATTACATCTATAATTTTAAACTCGGCAATAAACAATAAATGGAAAAATACATTTCTTCTCTACTACCCCTTCTAAAACCTAACTTCAAGAATAAATCTCCAATTTTCAATAACTTTTTGATTGATTAATTCCCCCAAGCAAAAAGAATAAAAAACATGTAACTGGCGAGCAAGTCAGATTGGGAATAATCATTTTTCAGGGAATGAAAATCAAAAAGGTTGTAGACCCGCATGCTGCTGATTAAAATACATTTGTACTAGTTCTCTATGGATAATTTCACGTGGAACTCAAACTACAATTTGATCGTCGATTGTCGAGGATTACCCGAAGACTATCAAAGGTTTTTGAAATTGAGTCGAATATTTGATAGTTTTCGTGGGCGTGACTATCGAAATTTACTCATATTTTGATAATGGGTTATGTTTTCCGTTTAGTGCAAAAACTGGTCAGCACATCAGACGTTTGCCCTTTTACAGTGTAAGTCTTCGTTTAAGTAATTTAAATTTGTCAGCTCTTTTGAAATGTCACTAGATATATAAACTTGTGCAATAAAAAAACAAACAAACAAATCGGTGCTTGCAGGAAGCCATGGGCTCCTGATGGCTATCATTATCTTTAGATTATGTAAACTTCTCAAATTTTCACTGTTCCATAAATTGCTCTATCGTAATATAAATAGCCACTATAAACCAAAAGTACGTCATATCTTAATAAATATATTTTTTCTCTAATAATACAACAAGAGCCTACAATAAGGGACTCCCGTCATGTAATTGCGTGACATAGATGAGTCACGCAATCCCTACTTTTAAGGGTGTGCGGGACCCCCCACACGACCTTGGGACTTTTTACAAAACTGAAGGCACGATACAGTAAGGAGAGAGTCTCCTTCCTGTCTTCGATGTTATGTCGTCACTTACCAATCTACGTTAGTAATACTGCTGAGAATTTTAAAAGGGAGTAATGAAAATGGGTTGCTGTTTACGTGTTCGTTCTATGTAAAGCTGGGGTAAGATTGTAAAGACGCAATTTCCTGTACAATATCTGCATTAAAGTGATAACAAAGACCTATTATAAAATATATAAAAAAGAACAAGGGCTTCAGAGACAGCAGAACGATTCATTCCAGTCAATAAATATCACCTACGGGGAAAATGTAAATAAACACAGGGCACCCAATCTCTATCGCCCTACAATCTTCAGCGACGTTTTTGAGCGACGCACGTCTACCGAAGGTGAGCCTTTTTTCTCTTTTAAATCGCCTTGACGGCACCAAACTTGTATAGCTAAGTGTTTTTGCTCTTGTAGAGAAGTTGTGCCCAAATATATGTTCAATATCAAGGGTCAAGAGTACCAAAAGTCCAATTCCGGTTGACGTGCGTCGCTCAAAATCGTCGCTGCTTTAACTCCCTACTATTTTGCTCTGACCATACGCGGTCACGTGTTCCACATGGTACTTAATGATATGGATATGGTGGTGGGTTTCCTGGGAATCCTGTATGGAACGTAGTAGATATGGTCAACGGCTTGCTGAAGTCACTTCTCCCCAGTCCATAATCAGGCCTGCAATCTTGTCTTAAACTATCAGGATATCCGTTTAAAGTAGAGTGCACATGCGCGGTAAGATGACTCGGCGTATGATGAATTGTATGCTCGTTGGGATGACCTAAGTATCCTGGATGTGGAAGAGGACGGGGTGCGTGACAAGGATGAGAGAGAGCACCTGTTGAAGACAACGGTGTAAGAGAGTTCATTTGCAGGTTATGTATGTAAGGATGCGTGGACAGATTCATACTGGATGACGTATTCAGTGGTGTTGTGACCGTAGGTCTGTCAGTGCAGAACGTCTGTTGTCGGCAGCTGCTTTGAAAGGAGGCAAAACTGCAAGACGAGTCGAACGCGTCCGATGGACGTCGAGGAAATACGACATGGCCAAACGCACTTCCTATCAAGAAAATAAAAGGAGATATGGATATTATCAAGATATTATCAAGGGCTTTTCAAGTAAACTTGACGAGGATGGTGGTGTGGGAAGCGTAGCTACCTTGGTATGCGGTATATGGATTTAGAAACGAGAAGGGAACTGGAGCCGAAATGTGTCCTGCAATTATTTCTGGGATAGTTACTGAGGATGCGCCGGTCAGCTATTGGCCAATGATTTTTCGAAAATCCTCAAATAAGAATGACCGAGACCAGGTTTTATGAGCCCGTGAGATTGAGTACCCCACCTATACCTAAACCCTTGTTTTTACTAAAACCTCTAAGATGCCCAGCCTGGTTGAGGTCATTGTTATCTAAGGTCTTCATATTTTTTAGCTGTCCCTAGTAATAGTCCCAGAATTCAATGCGAAAGTCACCTCGTCCCAGTTTTCATCTCGTCTGTAAGTACTTCATAGAGAGCTTACCAGAATGTCCCATCATTGGGGGAGGAGAGGGGTCGTTTATATCCGGGAATTTAGGTGGAGAATCCTGATAAGTACGTTTGCAAGACTCGCCACTTGATGTAGATCCCGCGGGGGAGAGAGACAGGGCGTCTGTGTCGTTGCAGTCATCTGGCGATTTTCTGGAACGGTACAATAAGAACAAAATTAATCTTTCCTCAAAACTCCACTTATTGCCCACTTAACAAGTAAAATGCATCTCACACAGCGTTGCCAGTGAATGCCTTATTCACTTATGTCACGCTAAGAAAAAAAAGCGAGAAGACATATACGGTAAAGTCCTTGCTTTTCTGAGCTGACTTCTTGTAAATAAATCCGCAGTTGGGACTTTCAAGAAGAAAATTAGTGAGCAATACTTTTATTTCAATGTCATGGATGAACTTACGGAGTGGCAATTCGAATCGAACGTAGGCCATGGCCATCTTGTAGCACTTTGAAAATCGGCCAAAACACAGGTGATACTTTTTAGTTTTGATTTCGTGCATTCAATAGAGTGGAAGGCTGGAAAATCCCGTTTTTAGTTAAAAAGTATACAGTGTCACTTAATTTCTTTTTATTCTCATTATTATGATTATGATTATTTTAATACGCTTAGTGGTTAAGATGTCTGCCCGTGTCTCGATATAATTGCGTGTAGAAAATACTCATACGTAAGCCTCTTACTGAAAAGAAGGTTCCTTTTCATGTTCTTATGAGTAAACATCCTTTGTGATTCTTTCAGGGCTTTTAGCACTCATGGCACATTCAGGTTAACCCCATTAAGACCTGGCGGCAAACCAAATGTGGTTTGGCTTTAGTTTCATAATGTGCTCTCCTTTGTAATTCACTGCGGTAATTTTGTCACGCTTACTAACACGTGTGGTTCGTAAAGTTCCGGTCTCTGAAAATTCAAAGGAAAATATATATGTATTGATCTCCTTTGGATCCAGTTGATAGTTACTCAGCCACAACAGAACAGTCGCCTTATGAAATTCTTGATCAAACGATCTCAAGATTTGCAAATCAGTGAGCCATTTTAAACGTTGCCTTAAGTTAAGCCTCTTACGTAATTTTGTCTCTATATTTGATTAGAATTGACTTGTGCTATTTGCAATATTTTTTAGACTCGTTTTATCGTTTTATTGTATTTTGTGCTGAATTTACTCTTATTATATAGTATTTAATGAAATTTTATTCTAATTAATTAGTTCTTATTGTAAATATATACTTCAGTTTTAATTTTTGCCTCTGAAAATCCCCCATGGAGAAGTGGTAGTAAACGATGTATGTATGTAGTATGAAAGATGAAGTTCTTTACCATACTTTCACAGGAAAGCATTTGAAAAATCTTTGATTTCTTTGCCAACGTTACCTTGATCGCCATTTGAATCGTTGTAAAGGGCTAGATGACACCTACACTCTCTGCTCTCCAAGAAAGATCAAACTGAGTTGTGGTGAGGGGGGGTACATGGACACATCCTAACAGCCACATAGCTGATATCAGTCCCCCCTCTGAAAATCAGCTTTGAAAGAGGGTGGATGTTAATCGGGCTAATAACGACAGTCATCGCGCGCGCCCAAACGGGTAGTCTTAGCGAAAACCACAGACTGTCCGCGGTAGGGTTTGATCCACCTTAATGGAAGTAAATGTTTTCCTGAATAGGGCACGTCTAATGTCTACTTTAGGACCAGCTTACGGTGCTTACCTTCATTTTATTCTTTCCGGCGATTCCCGCTGAGTTGAGCGGGTAATCTACTCCCATATTATCCCAAAGAAACTACACTGAAGCCACTATCATGGCCAATTTATCATTTGTTTGAGATAGCTCTGGGACCCATTTATTCTCTACATCAATTGCTTTAGTGTTGAGGATCACGTAAGCGAGATCCAGTGAGTACAATCTCCCGGGTGTACAACTTTGTTGTGATTTTTTTGTACTGTATAAATCATTTCAATTTAATATTATACAGCACTTTTTTATGATATTGTTACGGAGCCGGAGGCTGTTGTCAGTATTTGTACGTAATGCTTTTAAATTTAAATTTTCCTATTTGTTAATGTATATGTTAAACCATTAAACGGCAACTAAAATTAAATCATTATTACGTAATATCACCGCCATGGGCGCACATACCTTTTAAGTGAAATATGGTGCATTGTGTTGTTGCAGCTTCCACGAAATCCCTTTGCAAAGGGGTTGTTCTCAATCTTTAATTGGGTTATCTAATGGAGAAATAACATAACTTCAGATGTCACGAGTAAGGGCCAACCTTTTAAAATCCCCTCTTCTCTGTACACTTCTCAGTCTATCATTCTTAAGATACTCAAAAGAGGATAATTATAATTTGTTTAAAAATCGCACGACATTTGGCCATGGGAGATATTTTCTTGATTCCTGTGTACAGTATATATGTCAGTCATAACAATGACCATGTACTGGTCGAGGGTCGCGAGATTTTATAGTTACCAAGCTAACGCAAACGTATCTGATCGTTGTTCCCTATGCCCATTTCTATCTACCATAGCTAGTTTTATAAGCATGGTGTGGGCAAGAACTCATGTGCCTTCTACGGCTCTTAAAATCTTACCGTACGAATGAAACTAACCTCGCAGTCGGTATTAATATAGCGAGGTTTGATCAACGCGTTTGACGAGCGACCTAAACCAAAATGTTTAATACATAGGTTGGTCGCGTTTTACAACTATACCAGCAGCTCTCTATTTCAAACACTCGTTAAGTTCTTTGTACGTTTAAGTTATATCCCTTAGTGCAGTTGCTGAATTGTTGGCCATGTATTGGGAATTAGTGTCTTTCCCCTCAGCTGTGAATATTCAGTTTTGAGTTAATAAGGTGGTTTGTCTCTTATTTGTCGCATTTTGGGCGTTAACCACTCATTTAGAACCCAGGGGGGTTAAATTAATTTGTTAAAATATAAAACAAACTGGCCTCCTTTGGGCCATGAATATCGCTGTTTATTCAGTAATACCGAAAACATATAGACCACGCAAGACTCGGCAAGTTATGGCAGTCAGTCCAAAGTATAAGTGTCATGTGCTTTATAACCTGAGAAATAAGTAGTAGTATACGTGATCTGGGCATCTCATTAACTTAAAAAAACGTTAAGGGGTAATGCAATACCACTTAGGGAGTACAAAGTGGATTCAAGTTATAAAGATAATTGCTTAAAATTGGATACAAAATTTTAAGAGGATGGTGGGTTTTCCAGTCGCAAAGACCACATATAGTATCAAACAAAAGTTGCGACTAATCCCTGTATATTCATGGAAAGAAATCATCAAAACTTGACGCAATTGTATTAGTTGACAGTACAAAGGAACCTTGAAAAATGAGGCATGAATATAAATGTTTTGTGGGGCGGGACCCTGAGAATAAGGCTTCGTATACGTTTGCTGAGAAATAGAATAATCACACTAGTCTTTAGTGTTTGGAGGGTCTATTAGATATTCTATAGAGTGCTGTAATCCTCGCGAGAATTTAGAGAAGGTTACGTGATACTCTCTGATCTGGTCTACGACCTCGGTCATATCTGCTTATACAAGTTCAATAACCTTCATTGCCAACTCTCTATAACCTACTCTTGTTACCTTTGCCATGAAACTCTCCCATTCAATCTCATTAAACTTTTCACTCCAAGAAGTGGCTTAAGTCAAACTTAGAAAAGAGGTACAAATTTCATTTTGAAAAATGCCACAAAAAAGTACCATATGAAACTAATCGCAAGGAGCTTTTATTTGAATGGTCACACCACAGGATTTTGTCCAAAGAATCATAAGCCCCAACTACCTTACAAGACTCCATTATTTACTCTGGGAGTAAAACTGGGGGTCAACCCCTTTTGGTGCATTCTGCAGGTTATGTCTGCAGGTGATCGCATATCATAAAACTGCTTAGATGGCTTCCTAATTTAAGAGTCGGGTGAAACAGTCAAGCTTGGAAAAAACTCAAAAGGGCTAGAATCTCGAGGAAGATGTGGTGGGCGTGGGGGGAGGGGGGGGGGGGCTTATTGTATTATTTTAACGATCAGGCCCCGGTTGTCCAAACGTTGGTTGGCGCTATCCTAAGATCGGAGGAGATACCCCCCAACTCCTTTAAAAGACCCCATTATTCCCTCTGGGAGAAAAACGGGGGGTCAACCCTTTTTGGTGCTTTCTGGAGTTTTTGTCTGGGGGGGATCGAAAATCATAAAACTGCTTAGAGGGCTTCTTAATTTAAGAGTGGGGGGAAACAGTCAGGTTTGGAAAAAACCCAAAAGGGCTAGAACCCCGAGGAAGATGTGGTGGGGGGGGGGGGGGGGGGGGGGGTGCTTATTGTATTATTTTAACGATCAGGCCCCGGTTGTCCAAACGTTGGATGGCGCTATCCTATTAGGCCAAAAAATTTCTTTATACAGTGGATAACATATTTGTCCAGTGGATAGCGCTATCCACCTTTTGAACAACTGGGACCAGGTATACTAACTTTTTCTCTTGTGTTAGTTAATCAAAGGTTAAGGTTTGATAAATATCTTTCAGGCCTTCTCTTCGGCGTTTTACTTCTAAGTCAGGTATTCTACCCTGTTATGTTAAGTTTGTGAAACGCCAGCCGGATAAAAGCGCTCATTAACATTCCTTTTCCATTTACCACATTGACATTCAAGTAATGCAGAAAGTAGTTTGTATGACTAATAAAGATGTCAATAATCTAATGTTTCCTGTTATTTTCAAATTTTCATTTCTTTAAGTCGTAACAAATAGGTTAAAATTGTTGTCTCTGGGATTTATATTGGAAGGAGAGCACGAGCAGTACCCTTATTGCTAATAGGGTAGGTGGGGTGTGTAGTGCGTCTCCTTCAAGCGCCTCTTTCTCACTTGCGCCCATATTAATGCGACGCAGGCTAAGGTTTGGATGTATAAATATTACAGTTTTCATAGAAACTACTTAATATTTCGTTTATTTTTAGTGATGCACAATAATCAAAGGAAAACCACCGAGTTTTACTTTCCTCTGGTATTTTGTGTAAAACACTGTGAAAAGGCAACGAATGTTTAAAATTTCTATCGGATCTTAAGTGAACTTAGTACGTGCTCAGCTAGGTATCCATTAACAGGGGACAAATTAGTGGCGGAAACCCTAAATTATACTGCGGGGACATTTCCTTAGAAGTTAGTAGTCATGCATTTTCTGATCCAGCAGGAGCCGGACACTCTGATAGATGCCGACTAGCTAAAAACACGACAAATACACTCTCCCGAAAACCAAATTCCTAAACCAATGGTATGGAATCTATTCTGTATTGAAGTATAAAGGTAATGGTGAAATATTGACATTAACAACCAGAAATAGCCTTGTTTTGACAACTCAACCAACGGTGTCCATCGGCAACTTCCTAGACTGAAACGCTCCGAAGTCCAAATTGCTAAGATGTGGTTTTCCGTTTTGCAGTGGAGAATATCCCCTCTGTAATCTTCAGTTTTACATTACAGCTTATAAATGAAAACGAAACGCTGGTCACTTAAATGGAAAGAAATGTCGTAAAAAATGCCTGGCTTTTTTGTAAAGCAAGTGATTGCTTGGTTGCTAAAAAGACGTGAAAGTTACGGAATCCATGACTGTCAGATATTTGCCGCCATTCACTTTTCGTGATTGCGTAAGAATTTACTTTGTGTCTTTTAACTTTCTCTCTCTAGAAAATCCCTCCAAGTACTGATGACCATTTTGTTTCAAACATTTAAGGAAAACATCTACTGCAGACGCTCTTTTAGAGAAACTCATTGTAAAGTGGAATGTGAAACTATGAAAAATAAACGGAAATTGACAGTGGAGCACCAAATTGAATGCCGGATTTGAAAAACATTTTTATTCGTTTCTTCTTCTCTTCATTTCATTTATAAAATGCAATTCCCTTTTCCTGAGGGTTAGGCTGTCCTATTCTCTCTCATGCGTTTTAAAAAAGAGTAGTAGCAGTTATTCAAAACATTCGAGAACATGTTTATTTTGCGTCAAAACTATTCACGCTTTGCCAAAGCTATGGTCAACAAACAGGCAAGCCGCAGCTCTTAGAATTTTATTATCTTCGAAAGCGCTCTCAAATTCTTGTCCTGTTTATGCCCAAAAAGAAAATTCACATTAATCCATTGCCATCGTCGGTCAAGTAGGAAGACCTCAAATTACCGCCAATTATTCCGCCAATAAAATCTATTGTTGGTGGATTTTATTTCAGACTACTGATAACCCCGGTCAAGACTCGGTTAACACCCCAAATACGCGGCCGCATTAGTATTTTCTAAACCAGTTAAGTTTAATTAATAAATTGGAAAGTTACGTTTCATTAATTAATTGGAACTAAACCTGTTAAGTCGTCAAGTGCGGCCGCAGGCGACATGGTCGATTCTAAGTAATATTTGGCAACGCGTTTTGCAAGCTAAACTAGTCGAGTTCTTTAGCAGGAAAGGCGGTAAGGCAGCCTACGTGAATGAAATTGTAAATACAGGAAGCTCTCAGGAACAACAAACATGTACGGATACCAATTAATGCGATGAAATAAGTGGTTTACCAGGACCGATATCTGAGTCTGTAAGATATCGATTGCGTGTAAACCGCCGAAACCAGAAGTATACGCTTTCTGGCATGCGCAGTAATTAAATATTTTAGGACTCTAAATACTTGATAAAAATACATACTTAATGTAACAGAAATGCGCGCATTTGGCTCTTGGCACTTGGACCTTTAATGTGTCAGCAATTATAAAAATCACTTTGGAATGATTTGAGTTGGACCCTGAAAATAGGAATAAATTTTAAGTATCAAATATTCCAGCACAATGGGAAAGTACTCGTGGCATAAAGTTTGATATGAATGGTCACACTTTCATAATCGCATTTTCGAGCCCTTAAAGTTTAGTCTCGAGTGGTGCACGCTTTGTACCGCAGCAGTTTTGAAAGCGATATACGTAATTCAAGTCTGTTTGCAAAAAAATTTCGAAACACTGATATAAATTATTTTTGTCATTGTTTCGTCAAAATAAACCCTTGGAATGAACTTGATTTTCTTGAATAACGGTTGCCAAAACGAAAAGGATGAAATGAAATTGTTTTTGTGATTTCAGTGTAGTAAAAGCTGTTACTAACTATGTTTTTTTTAGTGTAAAATATTGACATGATAATAGTCGACCACAAAAACAAGCCTTAAAGTTCGCGAATTCTCTTTTAAGTCTTTTCCCGCTAGAAGGTAATGTTCTTACTTATTTCCTTAATGTTCTCAAAGTTAAGAACGACCGTTTAAAGCACCATAAACAGCACCGCAGGAAAATACTCTCAGACTCTTCCATTTTGGAGGGTCGGACCTCTGAAGATCTTTTTATGAACTGAAAGAGTTAAATCCCCCTTGAAAATAATATCTTAACCGTGGGAACAGGAAAATGGTTCTCGAAGGCGTTAGCATTTGATAAGTATCGGCCAGCCTTTATCGCGCTTTATCTTCCTTAATCAAATTTATTTTAAAATCTTTGCAAGTACCTCTTTACAATTTTTTTTTGGAGTATCTTTTTGTTTTGTCGTATACACTTGTATATAGACGCTACCGTATTACGCAAAAACTCAGACAAATTGGTGTCACATGTAGTTAATTTTGAGGTTATAGGAAGCTATCTCATAAGCTCCAGGCTTACGATTTGCTGAGTACGAGATTAACCCCAGATTTACGAACTTTTGAGTACGAGATTTCCTTTTACTAAGGTGAAAACAAAGAAAAAGTATTTTCTTCCTACAATATAGTTTGCACCACTTAAGCCATGGAAAGATGTTCACCTGCCACAAAATGCTTTCCAAACCAGACTCACGAAATTTTACGTTTGATTAACCCCACGGCATCTAAGAATAAACGTCTTGCCTATTATGATTAAAATAACAGTGAAATGTGGCCGTTTCTGTCTTGCAACTGAGACTTTCGTTTTAATACCTTAGTATGAGATCAATATCGTTTTATGAGCGTGCTAATTTTAGGCGTTGGTCAGTTTAGTCATAAAATTGTCCCAGCAGGAGCAAATTCGGGTATTAATAAATGTTACTTCCTTCCAAGTAGGCTAAATTAAGATGAAGACTAATGAACTTCCTAAATAATGCTACCTAAATACTAGCGTTCTAGTGCTAGCCCAGCAAAATGTGTCCAAGCTTAGGTTCTACTTTTGCTTTGTCCGAAAAGCTTTACTAGATTTTCTTACTATGATGAAGGTTAACCTAATTCGTTCGATCCAGCTAGTGTTAGTATCAACAAAAGCATTCTTTTACTCACAAATGCGCTCAGAACTTAGTCTGTCAAGTCACCCGTAGATCAATAGTGCAACTGTCATCAAGTCAGTAAAAGAGGTAGAAAGACATCAGTTGAATTCCCAATGGGAGATGGGTCGATTATATTTTTTTAAAACAATTTCTTTAATATAAATTAGTTAAAAGGACTGAAAAATGGGCCAAACTATAGGATTTTGTCCGTTCGATTCTTACTACCGTAACAACTTGATTCACAACACCGATGGAGTTGAAGATATCTGACCCGTTGGTTGTTTGAGTCAGTTTTTCAATAATGCCAATGTCTTATAGTCCTTTCACTCCTAAGACAGCCTAAAATCAAGATTCGTCTTAAAAATCCCCAGATCAGTTTATTTTGCACATATTCTGAAAACCAAATAGCACCTTACAAAAGTAATGCCCAGGAGGTTAATTCATTTGAATGATACACCCTATAGGCTTTCGCCAATAAGCTCAAACGTTAGAATCCATATAGACACGAGTTTAGCAGTGAAAGAGTTTGACTTGGCTTCTTTGAAAAGCACTAGACCCGTTAGCTACACAGTAATACAAAGGAGGCCAGTGTGTGAAATAAAATCAGCTGCTAGTCATTAACAAGTCAGTCTCACCCTTGGGTTTTGATAGGCAGTCACTCCCATGAATTGTGTTTCAGTAAAGACAAAGGTATAATAGGAGCCCTTCCTCAGTCCATAGGGGCTGTAGTCCTTGGCTGGAATGATATGAACACGCGGCTGGTACTTGTGCATTGAATTCAAAATAACCTGTGGTGTGAAAAAGCATTGGGAAATAATAAAAATTAATCATTTCGTCATAAAAATACAACAATGACCAATCAGTAGTTTTAATTAAATGATCACACTTTCAAGAAAAGCAGAGTGAAATTTAGGACAACCTTGTATTTCTCAACCTTGTACCTCATAATGAACAGTAACACAGGAGAATGCTGCTGAGTATATTTTTATATATTTGAATTTTCACCTTTAACGATTAGCGGGCATCCATAGACAAGTGCAACAGTAAAAAATAAAGCGTCTCCAGAAAACTATAAGCTCAGTAGTTAATGTGAGTGGTTTACTCAATGTCCACACAACATATGGTTGAGCTTCCCCCTTCAAAGCATATTAAGTACACTGAACTAAATCAGTAAAGAGTCAGTAACTTAAAAAACAAACCAACAAGCAAAGAGTATCGCTTAGCAATATTATAAAAAGTAACAAAGAAAAGTTCCGTTTTTGGAGCTAGGAGCTGACGGAGAGGAACTTTTAAAATGGTCTTACTTTTATTGCATTTACGTTAAAATTCAGATACATTTTTTTATTATTTTTATTTTTAGTAATGGGAAAAAAAAGACGACCGTGTGGCATACTAAAATGGGCCTTAATTCATAAATATTACAATGATAACCAGCTGAAGTATTCTACGTGATAATTATGTGAGAAAGAAGCAAAAAATTGTTTGTAGTATTAATTCCATAAAAAAGCGTTTGCTAGGTTTTATTTTTCTAATTTTACGATTAGGTAAATGAACTTTATACGCGACAATTAATTTTTTTGTCATTTAATTCAGTAAATGTTTGCATTTAACAACGAGGATTTTAACTTTGCAGGTTTTGACCTTGTTTTCCATATCATAAACATTTTATTCCTTTCAAACCTTTTTCCCCTGTCATTAGAGCTACGACTAAAATTCACAAAAAGCCAAAATTTTATTTGGTAAAATACTTACACACAAAAAACCGACAAATGTGCGGTGTATAAAAAAGAGTAGCAAAGGAAGTTTAATGGTCACACCAAGGGAATTTACTCTACAGAGTTTCATAAGTCCTTGCAGCATAACCACTGCCAAACGTTTTATTTGAATGATGTTTCATTTAGAGACTAAGTTAGAGCGAGCTGTATCCTGTAAAGCAAAATCAGAAAGGAGTTTGTCAACGAAATTTATTCTACTCGATACCATACAATTCAGTAACTGGTTAACCAGGCGAGTTAGGTCGAGATATATTCGATTACCATAAGAATCTAGTTTATTTCGAAGTCATCATCAAAATTCGCAGCTTGGTTCCGGATAAAATGTCTTATTTTTCAGAATGTTTCAACGCTTGAACAAACCGAGACAAGTATGCCTCTCTCGGTCAAAGTCAATGTTTTTTAAGCTTCCCTTTTACGGACGCACAATTTTCCCTCATTCTATTTGTTTCTTCTCCTCCACTGGCCACTGTCTAATTATCGTGTGTATTAATTAGAAAATGAAAGATTCCAAGTTCAGTCAAATGCCGCATATTTATGTCAATTATCCAGCGTTTACCATTGGTTTTAAATGCTTTAAACCCGCTAATAGTTTTATCACTCTCACCCTCCACAATTTATACCCTTTCTCCAAGCTTTTGTGCTTTGCAAGTGTTGATTTTCGTTTCGAGGTAAAAAGCTTTCACAATCACTTAGGAGAGGCGGAGTAAATCGGCCTCCCAAATCACTTGTTAATACCCCTAGCGGCTGTGGCTATTGTGGACTTGTTTACATCGTTTTTGAAGATAAGAAACGCGAAACTTAAAGAGTCGTTTCGCTTTATGTTCTCATCAAGTTCTTCCTCTACTGTCGTGTCGATCCGACAACTTTCAATTTAATGCACACAAAGAAGACAACACTAATGAACTTTCACTTCATTCACAGAGCTTTCTAATCGTTGTTTAGAACAAGAAGTCTATTTTGCCAAGCCCTTTAGTGTATCAACAAAGGCAATTAAGTCTTTTGTTCACATTCTACGCATTTCAATAACCTTCACATCAATAGAGTTGTTCAAACAAATGCCTGATTTTGTAGATAACAAAGAATAGTCTTCCGTATTTCCAGAAAAGAAATGGACTATGAATTAAATAGTAACGTATCACGATTATCAAATCCCTATGCTTATCTTTATATCCCTTGAGCTTTGTTACGTTTTATTCAATATATTTAGAAAGTGTATTTCTTCAACTTTTCTACTAAAAGGAAATCCTCTGTACAGAAATCTTGCATTTTGCATTTCTTTTAGTTGAATGTTTAGGTTAAAGACTCACTGCGACATCTAGCTCTTTATTGGTCGTCTTTCCGATTCGAACAAAAGATGAGATTGTCCGACGTTAGATATCTGCGATTAAGTTACTTTCAAAAGACAAGCCCTGAATTTTTGCGACTCTGTTTTTCGCCATTAGGCTTCCGAGTTTGCATGACCTTCAGCACAGGACAAAAACTCAGTTAAAATAATTACGTCGTTCCCTGCAAACTCATCCAATTTGCTATAGATTACTGAGTACTACTATGACACATAAAATTGGAGACATTTCTGACCACGAAAAATTTAACATAGCTGTTTTAACACTGTTACAAAAATTCCCTTCTATTGAAGAAAAGGTAATCAGGGAGCTTGAAAGAGTGCTTCGAGAGTAATTTCTTAAGTTGCGTAGCATAGTTTATGCTTAGTTGTGTACGTAATAAAGACTTTTTAAGCTTTGCGATGACAATGTACTTATGATTGATCCAGTACAAAGTTTCTGGTACAAAGTTTATGACAAGTTAAAACTTGCCCTTTTAATTGAGATTTCGAGTATGGTCTTGAAATCAGTTGTGTGTAGTATATTTTACTTAAGCGAAGCTTCGCAAGCAGTACTCAATCGGGTAAGTCGTTCACTGAATCTTAGATGAGTACCACAATGGATACGTATCCTAAGTGCAGTTCTTACTTTCGAGGCTGTGCACGAAATCCGGTTTTGAGATCATTCCAAAGAAACCGACTTTTAGATTCAACTTTCACTATGTAGTTGAACCTGCCTTTCACTGTTTGCGGAAAAGTTAAACTGAAATTTTTATTTCTCCATGAATTTTGTTTTTAGAGTAGTTTGTCTTGTAAACCCTCTTTACCTCGGGTGTTCAAATAGAGACATAAATTCAACTGTAGTGGTAACTAATACATAGATTCTTTTTGCATGGACAAAATAAGTTTTCATTTCGACTTTAAAAAGAACTGATCTTTGTATTACTTTTTGGACCATTTCTACCCTGATAAATTTCTTCAAGTGTAGTTGCAACTTTTGAGTCTGTGGGCGAAATCCTATGGCTTCAACATTCGAACAAGTAAACCTCTTCAACAGTACTTTCACATGATACTATTCGTTTGGTATGTAATGCTAACTCCGGAGTTTGAAGCCAAAATCCTGTACTATGCGGACTATTCACAAATGAGACCTCTTCAGCATTACATTAACTCGGAGTAATGCATCGTTCTAGCTCTGAGTTTGTATACAAAATCCTTTGATGTGACCATTTTAATTGAAGCCTTAATTCACCAAGAACTGTCACACAATGCCATTTAATTTTTTCAGTATTTCAAGTTTGAAATTGCTTTTGATATTGATCTAAGGAAGAGGGTAACCCTTGAAACCTTTGGAAGTAGAAAAACTAGGAAAACAGTTTCAATTTATTACCCTCGATATTAGAGATGTAAATAGTGCTGTAACGAATGATAAAAATTCATCTTCAAAAGTTACCATTAATTTTAATATCTATGAGCATTCAGGTGGATTTTTGAAATTACATTTATTTATAACATATGCCAATTTACCTATTACAATTAAAATATAACATTAAGGTTCTTTCTTTCTTCAATTTGGGTGAGACTAAGTCCCTGTAATCAATAAGACCTCTTCTCCAAACCTAGCCCCTTTATAAGACAGAGACCTGGCTATTCCCCGCCTCCAAAGCAATAAAAGTAGAAATCTAAGGTACAAATTTTATACTGAGAAATGGCAGCTGAACCTTACAACGTTTAATTATACTGAGCTTTCCATATCCACCTTTTCAGAGAGCGAAGTTAACCATAGGAAAAGGTAAAAACACTGAGCTGATGAGGCATCTATCCATGACCTGACTGTATTCCATTATATCGACTTAAGAGCTTCTTTTTGTGTTAACATGAAATTTTTTCCTTAAGGTCACCCAAAACTTGCCTTGTACTTTCCAGCCACATATAACTATGGCAAACTAAATTTCCTAATGTCATCCTTTTCTTCTAGGTTTTTTTCTCTCTTTGTTGTTGCTTTTCGAGACGGAAAGAAAGGTAAATTAGAAGAATTAACTAGGAGGGTACACTAAAAGTTTCTTTCTTAGTTCTGTTATACCTATAGACTGATTTCGCCTTAGGTGAAAATTCGTTTTGTGGTTGCTCAAAATCTTTTGGAGAGAGTCTCTAGAATTATGTTAGGCGTTCCTCATTATAATCATTCCTCGGTGTGACGACCTTGAGGCTCAAACATTCAAGAACACACTTTGCAATGTTAGGAAACATGGAAATAAGGTGTTTATATATGGTAATTGCTCAAATTCTTGGGGAGAGCCTCTAGATCTCGGTTAGGCTTTCCCCATATCATTCCTTGGTCTGACTGGCTTCTGGTTCGAACGTTCAAGGACACAATGCAATGTTACTGTTATGAAACAAGGAGATATGGCATGTATACGGAACTTATCTCACGATGGAGATGTCTTTTAACTTACGTGTCCCATCTGGTCCATGTGATTGTTCGTCAGTTTCATCTTCTGAAAAGAAACGACCTGCCTCATCCATTGAGAACCTGTTCCCGGCGAGTCTGGATGAACAAAGATTCTTGTGGGCATTAATGGCTCTGCTTTGCCGGTCACAGACCATTCTGAGTTGTGAAACTTGTACCTGTTATCGTCCGCTGGAATAATGTCCAAAACCAACACATACTCCTCCTTAGGATTTAAGCCGCTTATATTGACCCTGATCACGGGAAACATGCGTCTGTTTACGTAATAGAAAATTAAAATGTTTTTAGTGACGGGAAAATACCCCAAGAAAAGTTAAGTGACGTTGGAATGGATGTTCTTGGTGTTTTCATAACATTTACAGGTTGGATTTTTGTTGATGTTTTCTATTCCCGTCAAATTTCACGGGCGTATTTTCAGGCGAGAATCACGGAATAGTGCTAAACTACTGTGGGTGGGTCTAAACTGGTTTTCAATCAGCTGGGAGAGGGATCAAAGGGAACGTTTTTAAGATCGCGTTAGTTCATGGATGATCACGGTCTTGTTCTAATTCACTCTTTCATCGACTCATTTGCGTCGAATGATAGCAATTTTCTTTTTCCGGAGTTTTTCACATTTACGAGAAACCAAACGACCGAAACAAATATTTTTATAAACTGTGAAGTATCCTCGAAATCGGTCCCAGAATATTACAAAATGGCGTCGTGATTTATGGGTGAAGTTTGGACACGAACACTTTGTTAGAGCGCTTTTGGAGAGCTTGACAGCTACGTACATAAATCGAGTGTAGTTAAATGATGGCTGTTGAAACATGAACTCTTATCACACATGTTTTCTACGACAGCGCTGTCAAGGTTTACAAGTATAATTATTTGTTTGTCTCGACCTCCCATTACTGATTCTGTTTGTCCTGAGCGCGCACTGAAGAGGGAAATTGGAAAGACCATAGCTTTCCCTGAACTTCTAAAATTGCTGGGGAGAAAAATTAGTTTTCCGAATGTTCTGCTCGGGAAAAATTGCGAAAGAAACATCAATACGGGAAGTGCTGTTTTATAGCTTTCGTTTGATTTGTTACACACTTTAAACTTTGTCGGTCCACAAACTTTAACGTTAGAGCACATAGAACGAAGGATTTACTCTAAGTTGTAGTTGGGCTCTAAAACGGTTTGCTTTAGTAATTGCGCCGAGGAATCTATCCTTTTTCTGTTGTTTCATACCGGAGAGATTTTTACTAGACATGACATCGGAAATTTGAACGCGCGTATAATACATGGTGCTCTTTCTCTTACCGCCCCGTTTTGGTGATAATCATCTCAGTTCCTATATTGTGAAACTTGTCCCATAGCTCTTTATTCTCGAGTTCCACCTCCATATTGTCCGATCTCAGCTGACCGTGCGGAAGAGACGAAGAAAAACCAAACGCCATAGTGTGTATTTGAGAATATCCCGGGTTAATCGGTTGACTGGGAATCGTAGCAGAACCATGCATGTCTTCGTAAAAGTTTGTTGGGCGGCTGTACGACATGAGGGAATCAACGTGACGATCTGGCGAAAGGAAAGATCATGGTGTCAGTGTTTAGATGGCTGGCCGCATATGCATGTGACTTAAGGTATGTTTGAGGTCTGGCGAGCCATTGTAATGCAACTTATAAGGAAGCCGAAGCCTCGTTACAATTTCCATTACGTCAGTTGACGAAGACAACGTCAAGGAAGCGGGTTGTACAGAGCTTAGCAAAGCCGAGAAATTACGGACGCAGATTAAAGTGGAAAGAATAAATTTTTCGCTTACCGAAGTCAAAATCCTGTCCCTGAAGCATTGAGCTGCTGCAACCAAGAGGCAAACCGGCACGTGGAGGTAACTGACCTTCCGGGCTTTCAACGGATGTCATCATCGCATAAGAAAACTTAGCAGCTCTCTACCTCTCAAGGGCTTCTGACTTTCAAATGCAATGGTTCAGTGACTTATTTTAGTCTTATATTGAACTGCGAACTTGATGTCCAGCAAATGAAGTGGCGGCCAAATCAACCAGCGTCGTTTGCAATGCCAGACAATTCAAATGGTTTGGCACGGTACTCCGGTGTGATTCAATTCAAACATAAACAGCACTCTACGGAGCTCTACGGTAAAGTTTTGCTTTTGCAATCAATCATTAAACGATTTTATTTATACACCATAGAGACTTAATGTCTCTCGGTAAAGGACATTCATAAATCACTTAGGCGTTCTGCTCAATTACAGTAATGAATCTATTAACGCTCTGATTGGATGACCAGCTGTCAAGTAGCCATCAAAGTTGTCTTTGGATAGCAATAAGCGGTGACGTTTTTGTCATTTCCTGTTGGCCTTTAAATAGCTATTGTGTAGACAATCAATTTGCCGTGTGAAGGAGGCGGACTTGGACAGCCCATAACAACGAACATTACACCAAAATTATCCGAGAAAGAATTACTCGGATATTTTACTCTGAAAAGAGAATTACACAATGAATTTGAATAAGAATGGAGGGTCACTCGAGCGCGCACACGACACAATACAGAGGCGAATTTACAAGCTCAACATAACCAAGTATTTCCGGCTCTGCAGAAGCTCACAAATTATGACAGATACAAAAATTCAATGAGCCCACTGGGAAAACGTCCATGCCTGATGTAAGGAGAAAAGAAAACAACGATCTTTCACTTTGTTTTGTACTCGAGTTGAAAAGAATTATGCACTCAGCCACAAGGCTTTGTGTAACTATGCAGACACGGCCATTGTTTCTTGTCAGCTTTCAAAATTTAATCAGTAAAACAGCATGGATTGAAAAGCGATTTTGTACTAAGAAGATAAATCAAACCCTTTTGAAAATAAACTGAAAAACAAATTAGTGGTAAAATGCAAGGTCGAGCGCCCAAAAATCGATTCAAGTCAGCTTTTGTCGTTGATTGACACATGCCTATTTAAACAGCCCAAAACCAACACAGATATCTAGAGACTCACGTAGACATCGTTTGGTACAATAAAATGAAATTTTTAGAGTCCCGTGCTAATCCATTTTGTGTATAAATGCCAATGGAAACCAGACTAAATTGATAGTTAAAACGCTTTGCTTCAGATCGTGTGAATTCAACACACGATGCTTAAAATATTAATTATAGCTCAGTACTCGCAATTTATTCTTTAAAAATACGTGGCGTTCACTTTTGCCAAAATCACGGTTATTGGATTCAGTTGTAACACTCCATTACACGCCGGCTCATATTTCCAAGAAGTGCCCCCTTCGACTCTGTATAAAATGTTCGCTAAAAACTCGGGGAAACGATAAATGTAAGATTATTTCGTACCGCTTTAAAACCACTAAGGAAAACTGACAATGGCAGATGTTTAAAAATAAAATAAATCTACCTCCTAGCTATTTCCACGGCTTGCAAAAGGATACTGTTTTCTTCCGTTCGGTAGGCAACGCGGGCGTTCTTTTTCCGGCTGGATTATCGCAAGCCAGGACTAGTCAGCCAGCAAATCACCTTGGTCAGATTTTTAGTTTTTGTTTTACACCCCGACAGACAGCCATTAGAAAAAGAAACTTTTATCTAGATGTCATTTAATAAGGACTGTAAAAGGAAAAAATTAAAAATTGTTTTAAAACGACCGCAGTTGTTCCATCGCGTTAACAGCTGGTATAAGTGGGAGTGAATCGGTATTAAGAACCTTTTGCAAGCTAAAAGCTTTTAACAGATTAATGAGACCAAGACTAAAGAACACGAAAATGGACGTAACGTAATGCGTGCGCCGTTCAAAACTTTTAAAACTGTCCATCATTAGTTGTTTATTTAGTCAGTATCGTCTTGTAATACACTGAACTGTTAATTGCCTGTTCAAAGCTGTTATAAAATAAAACTTTTTTATTCGGGGCTAGGGATTTCAATGCAGGTAGAAAACAATTCTCTAAAGTCTTTAGTATCGTGCTGCGAGCCTCCTCCTAAGATTCGACCATGACTTTTTGTTGATTTTGTGGTCTACGATTTTGTATCGTCCTTTCGGCACAGCCCACTTTCGACGGAAGCTTAGATGATCATCAAAATGTTTGCCATATTTCTATGCATTGTAGAATTAGTTTCTTTGTTGGTTTGTGTTTATCCAAGTTTCATTCTCAGACACGTACGCGACGACATTTAAGAATCGGTTGAGTCAAGAGCGTGCTTATCCAATTTTACCATCATTTTAATTAGACCATTTACTTCTAACCTTGGCCGAGTTCATACTTGAATAAATCCCCAAATCTCGTTGTTTCAAATATCAAGTCTTGTTTAACAACTCTGCATTCAACTTCAATCACTGAGCAACGCCACGGAAACTGTTTTTTTCTTTTTTGAATGGTCACACTTAAGTATTACATACACCAAGCTCTGGCAAATATTAAAGCCCTCTTGTCCATTTCGAAATATGCCACCACGTCAAACTTCCACAACGAAAAGCGTTGAGTTAAATGAACAATTTTAACTGAATAAACATTAAAACCATCACTGTTCTTTGTTTTTATTTATTTATATTAGAATTTTTGTAAGCAAAGAAAAACACAAAATTGACACTCGACGCGTGTTATGTGTTTTTAGAAACTGAATAACTTTTGAGTCAAGTTGACATTTGTTACGACATTCAGTCAATTTTTTATAACAGGAAGAATAACATTCCACAATTAGTCAAAAGAAAAAGTCCTTAATGAATCATTCAAAAAACGGAAATAACACACGAGCCTGGTATTTTACTTAATCCTTTCGATTTTTTCTCATAAATTTTACTTACGGATATGGCATTCTAGAACATTTCTACTAAGAACTTTTCATCGAAGCTATAATTGTGTGCGACCGGAAACAATTATAATAAGACGTTTTTAATGCCCCTCTCCAACCCTCTACATGACCTTAAAAGTAATGAAAACAATAGCTACTTAAAAGTTTAGGAATAGCACTAATCCTAAAATCTTGGAAAACTGAGATAGTTTAAAATCAGTTTAGCTTAATTTCAAGTCAATTTATTGTAAGTGAGCACTCAAAGATTCACATATTTGTATGTCCCCAGGCCGACTGGTTGTTCTATGATCATCTCGTTGTAACTTTTAAAGAACTTTCATTCGCGTTATTAATGTTTAATCCGGTTATGATAAGAATATTTTTTTACGAATAATTCTCTTTAACATAACATTTTTGTTGTTTTCTTTGTCATTAAAGTATTAATTCGTCACCATTGAGAATTGCTTTCTTTTCGAAAATTCTAAATAGTACATCATTTGGGTTCTTTTGTTTATGTGTTCCAAGTCTTGAGCTTTTCTATGGTAAAAAGCGAACCTCCATTCATGCTTCGGTGCTTAACGTCTTACTCCTAAAAATAAATATTTTTCAAGAGCGACTTCCATGCGGTCTCGTTTGTTTAGTGTTTTCTCAAGGGTGGGGCTTGAAAGAAAGCTTAGAAAACTACCCCTCGTATTCAAAAGAAGATTGATCATTTCTTATCAGGATTGTTTCATTTATCAGGAAAGGAAGCAGTAAGTCTTTTGTCAGCGGGCAGCAAAAGCGCCACTCTCTCCTCTCCCCTCATACGAAAAGAGTCAGGAAAAAAATCCTTAATAGCGATAATGCGTTCACAGGAAGGCTACTGAATAGTTCTTTCCTGGCGGCAGATTTGACGGCACTCTAAAGAGGAAAAGGATTTCATGCTTATATCATAGAAAGGCAGTACCGGCATTTACCATAAATAGCCGGTTTGATACAGTAATCATATTTGATTATGAACACGTGGAATACATGACGCGGCACCTTCCCTGCTCATGCCTAGAACACATGAGGCGGCAACAGTAAACAAAGATCTAACGGTCAAATCTGTAACAAAATGAAACTTAAGCAGTAGTACTCTTGTTTCATGCGATTTATTTTTCAGTATTTTATAAAATGAAATTTAGAATTTTCCGTGCATCTTTACCTCGGATCATGACTCAGGTAGTAAAGGTTAGACAAAAAAATACGTGGTGGCCACTCTCAGTCTTAAAAAAATGCTGAATCTGTTATTTACAGCGTCAGTTGATAATTGAAATAATGGCTTCCTCATTCCCATTGTAGTAAGTTATGGAGTTCAACTTTGAGGACTGTAAATTAATTCTTGCTTCATTCTTTCAATGAAAAACCAGCAGTATTTTCCATTCTTGCCGTCTTTTTTTGTGTCTCTTAAATTCCGCCATTTTCAGCTTTTGTGTGACCTGAAGCTGTTAGAAGAGCTAACTCTATTAAACGCAGACGGAAACGCCACTGTCGCCTAGGTCGTCTAGTCATCCCTTTAAAACAAAAAGTCTCATGGAGTAATGCCAGTGAAGTGTTGGGGTATCAACACTAAAAGGCGACATTTTCAAGTACCAAGCAAGTAGTTATTCCAGTTAGTTTTGAAGGCGTTAAGATCAATAATTTTCCTGCGTAAACATATTTAATAAAAATCCTTTTAACCACTTGAGAAAACCTTTCATTTAAATTGCTGGATCGCTATTAAAATAAATCACTCGGGGAGGAAAGACAAAGCAAAAGCTAAAATTT